GGCTGCGCGCCGCCATCTCGCCCGACGCCCCGAGTCCCTCTGAGCCCCGAGCCGGGGCGGCGAGCCGGGGCCCCCTTCTGTCTCCGCGGGCCCCGCCCCGTCCCCGCCCTCCGGCCACCACCCACTCCTCGGGGCCCCTTCCCGGTCTGCAGCTGCCTGCAGGAGCCCGCCCCGGTCCCCACCCCTTCTTCTCCCGCCATAGGGAAGGGGACGGCGAAGGAGGAGGGGGAGCAGCCTAGGGAGGGGGCGCCGGGGAGCGCGGGGCGGAGCGGGTCCCCGGCCCCGGCGGGGCTGCTCCGCGCCCCCCTTGGCTGCGCTCCCGCCCTCGCGCTGGGCGTCGGGCTGTTTTGGTTTCAGTTTGTGCATCTTCAAGTTCCGACAGCTGCGCCGCGCAAGGAACAGAAGAGACACGTGCGTCCCGGCCGCGGGCTCGGGCCAGCGCCCCGACCCGTCGGGAATTCAGGAAGGAGCCGGCCCAGGACGTCAGCGACTGGTGGAGCGAAGCGCACGGGTGGGTCCGGGTCCGCCGAAGTTAGGTTGTGTCGGCATCTCAGAGGCTGAAGTCAGTGTTCATCCCTTTGTGTGCCCTTGAGAGTGAATCCCCACGCGGCCAGGCTAGCGTGGCTCCCCCCCGCCCCCTCCCCCCCACAAGCAGCCCCCCCGTGGCCTAAGTGGGCGGATCGGGAGCCCTCGGGCCAGGAGGCTCTGGGGACCTGGGAGCGTGGTCTGGGGTCCGGTGCTCTTGTCACCCAGCTGCCGGCCTCAGCCCCGCCGGGTCGCCTCCTGCCTGGAGGGAAAGTGTGACAGAGAAGCAATCGCGCCAATAATCTCTGCTGATTTGGAGCCATGAGGGTTTTCTCCGATTGCTCCAACATCTGTGGTCTGGGCTCAAACCCTGGCTTTTCTAGCCCTATGACCTTGGGCAGGTTCCTAACGTCTCTGTGTCTTGTTTTCCTTTTCTAGAAAATGGGAGTAATATCTCTCTCCCTAGGACTGCAATAAAGAATAAATGAGATGGTGTCTGTGAGCTGCTTGGCCTGGAATGAGCACACAGAGAGCTTGATAGTGCAGGGAGGTTCTTGTTGTCAAGCCAGGAAGGATAGATGGAAACTTGTCTCAGCCAGATTCTTAAACATTTCAACACCCAAGAAGTAAACAGATGATAAAGAAGGTACACAGGGGTGGGGGGAGAGATTTTGGAAAACTGGTTGGTTGAGTTCTTTGGGTTTGGAAAAGATTCCTTCCTGTTAGCTGAGAGATCTGCAGAGGGGAAGACCCTGTGTTCAGAGGAGCTTCTGCTGTCAGTCAGCCCCAGGCCTTCCTGAGTGTTGAGTGCCTACTTCCTGCCAGAGAAGAGAGGATTTTGAGGCTGGAGAAGCAGTGATCATAGCTAGCACTGGCCATGTGCCCTGCTCTGTGCCAAGCACTTTACCTGCATTTTTTACTTAGCTTAAAAATTATCTAGTGCTATCAACTCCACCAGTTATCAACCCCTAGTGGAACAAATGAGAAAACTGAGCCCAAACAAATCAACAGACTCCGTAAAGAGCACACAGTGGGCTGACAGAAGAGCAGCGCTGGAAGCCCCGCTCCCGCCTCAACACGCACTTCACTACTTGGCCTGAACCCCCATTTTTAATAGAATACATAAAATTGTACACAGAGAAAAACCATAACTGTGGCAGGAGGTCCCCAAGATGGCCACCGACACTTCACCGTGCCCCACCTCCACCCCGTGCGTATGTGATAGCACGCTGCTCCGTCAAGAGGGGAGCCTGCCTCCGCCCTTGAACCTGGGCAGGCAGGATGGCTTTACCGTGGACCACGGTGGGTGTGCCATCCTGACAGGCCCAGGCCCTGTGAGGCCTGCAGCTGCAGCCCCTGCCCTCTCGGAACCCAGCTGCCATGCTGTGAGGGTGCTGGTCTAGCCTTCGGGAGGAAGAGACCCCACAGAGAGAGCAATGAAAAAAGTATATAGTCCATTGTACTTTAAAATAAAGTACATAGTTCCCATTTCCTTCAGTTTAGATAAGGAGAATTGATTATGTGTACATGAAACATTTCAGAACCAACCAGGTGGTACAGAATTGCACTTCCTGCAGCCCAAGTTACCTAAGAAGCGACTGAGGACCTTCCTCCTAAGTGTCACAGCCCCTGTGGCCAAGGCCGTCCCTGCTGCATCTTGGAAGCAGATCTCCCGGAACTAGAACAGGTGGAGCCACACCTCGCCCCACCCCCACTCCCACCCCCACCCCCAGCCACGTCCACAGGGCTGCTTCCGGTGGGGCCTCAGCAGTTCTGAGAGAGCAGCAGGCCACGCAGGCAGTGCTGGTCGTGGTTTCTCCCCAAAAAGCCCCTGGCCTTAGCATGAGCAGAGCCCTCTTGTGCTGAAAGCTGAAGTTGGCAGGTGCAGAAGGGGGAAGGACTGGGAGGTGTCCGGTAGGAGCCTGGGGCTTACCTTGTATCTCAGGCCTGATGTGCAAGTTGGAGACAGTGATACAACTGCGATTGTTGACCCTCACAATCCTTGGAGAGAGATGCTCTAGTCCTCGCTTCACGTGCGGGAAAACAAGCACAGACAGGAGAGTCGCCCGCCCCAGGCCTCACAACTAGCAAGTGGAGAAGCGTTAGCTTTCTGCCTCCAGAGCTTACAGTTTTACCAGCTTGAGGGGTGTGGTCCTCCAACACCCCTTTGCCGTTTGCCTTCATAGGTCCTACCACCCATATTACTCGGAGAGTTGCAGCACTTGGATGCTCCTAAGAAATAGTCTTTGTTGGTAACAGATCTCCTGGGAGAGCCGCCTGCCCCCAGTCAGCAAGACCTAGCGTTGAGTCACCACATCCATTCACTGTAAAGTCGGCTGCCTCAGAGAACCTGTAAAGCTCTCTGCTTCCTCTTCCCTACATCTCTTCCTTTCCTGTTCTCTCCATTCTCCCACTTCTTCCCTTCAACGACACACAAAGGATATCTGTGCAGCCCCTCCTGTGTGCACAGCCCAGCGCTGAGGACTGTCAGCTCGACAAGGGTGAACCAGACACACCCCCTGAGCTCAAGGTCACCACTTGGGGAGAGTGGGGATACAGAGAGACATGCCAGTTCAAGTGACTGAAATGCAAACCAAAACCAAAACAAAAATCCGTAACAAGAGCCTTGAATCGGGTCAGAGGAAGGAGAGGACCCAATTGGCTGGGAGTCTGGGAGTGGCTTTACAGGGTAACAGGGCTCACCTTCCCCTCCGTTCCCATGACCTCAGTGGTGACAATGATGTGTGGAGAGGCTTGTGTACATCCGCTTCAGCAGTGGGGGCTCCATGATTCTGATACAGTTGCACACCAGATCTCTGTGGAGGTGCATGCTCCACCCCACACTCTGCAAGGTGAACCCAACAGTGCACAGCAACCCCAGGACCAGAGGGCTCACCACCAAAGAGCAGGAAGACGGGAGGTAAAAACCAGGACCGACTTCAGACAGCACTGGGCTGGCAACAGGGCATCCTCCTGGAGCTGGGGCACCCCCCATCTGAGGGTGGCACCACGTGTGGAGCAGCCAGACTTTGTGGTGGGGTCTGTTCTCGGTAAGCTCCAGTAGCGAGCTGACTAAATTCCATCAGCACCAAACCCTGGAGACTCTTCACTCGCTTTAGCCCTCCCAAGGCGTGAAAGGCTGGGGCAGTCATCCGTCCACAACCCACAGAAAGCGGATCGCTTTTGGCTTCACTCGTGGCCTGCATGAGACCCCGTGCAGCCTGCAGTGGTCGAGAACGTCACTGGTGAAGACAACGGCCATCTCCTATGACTGGTAGTCATCGATACCTGGAAGAACCAGTGCCCTAACCCCCGGGGCCACAGGGCCAAGGGGACCCAGAGCAAGGACCCCCACCGCTGTCTCCTCAGGCTCCAAGCTGCCTCTCCTGAGTGGACACCCTTGCTGTGGCAACAGCACAGTCTGCTCCCACTCAAGGCCAGGCTGGCGCTACTAGTGAAGATCACACAGACACATGAGGGGGCCTCTGATGGCCAAGGTGGAAGCAGTGTAAGCTGTGGCTGCCGTCACTGTGGATCAAACCCTGCCTTTTTCCTTTGTCAGCCCCCAAAGTAGCCTAGTGGACAGAGACCACTGGACAGGGAGCCAGGAGACCTGGACTAGACCTTGAATCAGCCCCAGCCCGCCATGTGGCAAGTCCCCTGATGTCTCCAGGCCTCGGTTTTCTCATCTGCAAAATGAACAAATGGGAGCCAAATTCTGGATCATTTAGCTCTAAAATTCCAAGTGGTGTATTCCTCCCAATAAGGACATGCCAGACTTAATATCCAGAGTTTCTTCTGTTTCCATAAAATCACAGCTTCTGCCAGTGAAGGGGACTCCCTAGATGTGTGGGGGACTCCGTAGATGTGTGGGGGACTCCGTAGATGTGTGGGGGATTCCCTGGATGTGTGGGGGACTCTGTAGTTTGTGGGGGACTCCCTGGACGTGTGGGGGACTCCCTAGATGTGTGGGGACTCCCTGGACGTGTGCGGGACTCCCTGGACACGTGCGGGACTCCCTGGACGTGTGCGGGACTCCGTGGACATGTGGGGACTCCCTGGACGTGAGGGGGACTCGCTGGACGTGGGGGGGTCTGCCTGGACGTGTGGGGGACTCCCTGGATGTGTGGGGACACGCTGGACATGTGGGGGACTCGCTGGACGTGTGGGGGACTCGCTGGACATGTGGGGGACTCCCTGGACGTGTTGGGACTCGCTGGATGTGTGGGGGACTCGCTGGATGTGTGGGGCACTCCACAGATGTATTTAAGGACTGTTGCGCCTCAGCTTTGGAG